AGAAACAATTCTCTTGCTCAATAACTATGTTTTAAGAACAGTATTTATCTATCTATCTACCTATTTATTTATTTATTTATTTGTACTAGGGATTGAACCCAAGAGTATCTTGCCACTGAGAAACATTCCCAGTCTTTTTTTTTAAATTTTTTTTTTTATACAAGGTCTTAATAAATTGCACAGGGCCTCTCTAAGTTGTTGAAGCTGGTCTTGAATCTGTGATCCTCCTGCCTTAGCCTCCAAAGTCTCTATGGGACTACAGGTGTGCACAACTGTGCCTAGTTGATACAATCTTAATAAAGAATCTAAGAACACCAACAGCTATCATAAGTCCCTTGGCCTATTATGTTGCTAATTATGGTCACAGTGTCTCCTAAATGCCAACTCACATGAAAGCTTAAACACAGTGAAGAAAAAAGTATATAAGCAATAAAAACAGTTCTCTAGATACTTTTGAAGTCATTTTAGAACGTAAATTAAGTTCCTAGGGCTCAGATTTGAGGTTGAGTTTGAGTAAACATGAATATGTGACCTATGGGAACCTTTTTGAGGGCCTCCTGGAATTGCTCTGTTGTATGAAATTTGAGACCTAAATGACCAGCTTGATTGGTTTGCTAATTACATCTGTTGTTTTTCCCACTAGTGTCTTTCCTCCAAAATGGTCTTCCTTTCCAAAAGACCTTGCTGCTTACTTAGAAAAAAATGGGGAACTATAAAATGAAAATGATTTGGTGAATTATGTCTTTAGGAATGAAAATAGCCTACTTGATCCAGAAGAACCAAGACTACAAGAACTATGCAAATATTATGGGAACTCTGACTTTCTTTTATTGATACACTCTATCTGCAGAGAGACTGGCAGCAAATGCTTAAAAAGTCTGTGGGCTGAAACAAAAACAAACAAAAAAAAATAGAAAAGAAAAATTAGATGTTTTCTCTTCTTCAGATTGTCTTGGGGAATAAGAACCTAAAGAAATGTACTATAAAAGCAGCTCTACAAAAAAAAATAAGATTTTGAATCTTTGGAAGCAAAGTGGTTCAGAAGTGTCCCAGGAAGCTATCCAGGGTTTGAAGAGTGACCCTGGGAGCTTAGCTAGAAGACTTTCAAGTTTTTCCGAATCGAGCATCTGAGGGGGAATATTTAACTGAACTATTTGGAACTTCTTGGTTTGAAAAATTGGAATAAGATTATGAAAAGATCCTTTCTTAGGAGATTTTTTTGTTTATTTTTTTGGCACCATTGCTTCTGTCAGGGCCCAAAAAACCAGGGGGGAAAAATCTCCAAACTAAGTGAAAACTCTAGATTCATATATATATATATAATGTGTTGGGTTGATTCTACAAGCTGTAAGGGTTTGGCTTGGGTAATGCTGGAGGTCATAAGTAATATTAGGTCAGAGTCTTAGTCTGTATCTGTGCTTGAAAATGCTCATAACAACAGCGAGGAAGTTCTGGGCAGTTTCTGAAGAGTTCCAAGGTTGGGGCAGCAGAGTTCTGCTCATGATGCCTTAGGTATTCATTTAATATAGGATGGTTCAGATCTTTCATCTAAAAGCTGCAAAGATAAGGACTGGAAGTTCAGCAGTCTCTGCAATATCATGGATAGCATGGTGTCTTTTTAAAACATTGGTATTTAAGATATCATTATGAAAAGGATAGTAAAGAAATCCAATGAGCTAAAGAACATTTATTTTCATAGTATTTCTAAGACGGACTTTGTCAACATCAATTTAAAAAAATTTTAAAAAATATATCAATTTCATTTTTAAATGAGTCAACAGTACAATGAGATGTGTTTGGGAGGGAGGGTGGAGAATACCGTGACACAAGTTGTATTATCTGGTATCAAGAATCCTAAACAGAAATAGAGAAATGAACTAGGCAAAATGTTCCACTGAACAATTACACTTAGTCCCAATGACTGTACCTTCTGGTCCCCTGTACTCTCCCAAGTTAGGCATTCAAAAATACATATAGGAGTTTTTGTTAACTTTAGTCTTTCTTGTCTCATCTGTATTCTGGCCTTTGGTCACTTCCAATGTGCATTTTATTTATCCGTATTTCAATGTTTCTTAGTGTTTCTGCCAAGTCTTAAAACCCTGCCATCCATGCTCTTTGTGAGATCAGTCATCCTAACCTCAGCCCAGCCACTTTGCTGCCCAATAGTTCTTCCATTTTGTTTTTCCTAGCCTCTATCCATGTTCCTCAGCAATCACTCCAGACGTTTGTGCTCACTTTCTGATATTCAGTTTGTTTCTGTAACCTTTACCTTTATCAAGATTACTCCTCTTATCACCCACTGCCCCCTCTGGTACCTGTGGCATGGTGTTGAGGGGACCCTTTCCTCTCACATCATCAGGTCCTCTCTCTATATTAACTCACACCACAGGGGCCTCACATTTTAAATAAGCAAACAAAAAACTCAAGTCAGCCACCCTTCTGGGATTCTGAAATTGAAGTATCCCTGTTAAACCCTTTATATAAAAAGTGCTATCATCTGAATGTCCTCTCCAAAACTCATGCTGAAATTTAATTGCCATTGTCACAGTATGAAGGTGGGACCTCTTGAGAGGTGAGAGATTCTGAGGGCTCTGCTCTTAGGAATGGATTAATGCTATTAATGGGAGTGGATTAGTGATTGCAGTGGTGGGTCCTGGCAAAATGGATGGGTTTGACCCAATTTTTATGTCTCAGCCATACTTTGCCCTTTGCCATTTGATGACACAGCACAGAGGTCTCCTCCTGACGCTGGCATCAAGACAAATAGCTTAGAGTGGTCCACCCCATTCCTCATTAACGCCCCTCCTTACTCCCTTTGATCTTGCTTTGGTTTCTAATACAGTACAGAAGTTGCTGACCCATTGGTCTTTTTGTTTCAGTCTTCAACCTCAAGGCCCTATTTTTCCTACTGAGTATCTTTTAGGAATTCTCAACTTGGTTTTCTACCTCTCTTACGATGTGTTTTGTGGCTTAACTCACTCCACATTCTTCTTCTATCTGAATGGAGATATTCAAGAAAGTCCCAATGTTCCTTTCTCTCGTCATTCCATATTCTCTGCCTAACAAGCTGCTTCCAAATTTTCAAACTTTATGCTTCTAATTTTGTGTTTTTTATGGCTTCATCCCTGTCCTCTTTCCCTGATCAAAATCCCTAGTGCCTACTTAAATTTACTGTTTACAACTCAAGCCTACAATTCAAACTCAGTAGTGTCCCTAAATCAAGTTTATTATTTTTTCTCTCCAAAAATCTTCTCCCAACTCTATGATTTCTGATATGACATTCACCACCCTTCTAGAAGCCTGAATCCTTATTATACATTCAGCAAATATCCACTGTGTGCTTAATAAATGTTAGTCAACAGCTCCAGGCCCTGAGCATAAAGAAGCAAACAAGATGAATGAGGCTCTTGCCCTTGTAGAGTTTATGTTCTAGAGTGGGGAGTCAGGCAGCAAAATCATCAAATTTTGGTAGAGAGAAGTGCTGTAAATAAAGTAACAAGTGAATGTCTATTCTGAGGAATGGGGTTGGGCAGCAGGACAACATTAGACAAGGAGGTCGAGGATGACAGTCTGAGAGGAAGACATTGAGCTGGGACTGGAATACCAAAAAGGCCAACATGAAAATATGGAGGAAAGGGCTTCTTGAACAAAGGGATTAGGGAGTACAAGAGCCCCAGATGGGTACATGCCTGTTTCCTTTATTCCCACTTCACCCCATCACTCTAATTGCAAATGCTCCTCAAGTTGTGCAACATGATCTTCATTTTGATCCCTCTTGAACTCATTTCCTCCTGGGTGAAGCCCTTGTTACTTCTTGTTCCCCTTCCACTCTCTGTTCTAGTGCGACCCTTGTGTTACTACAGAATTAACCTTTGGAAACTGAAACTTGGCATCATACTCTCACTCCCAAACCTCTAGTGACTCTCACTATGTGCTGAGCTAATACAAACTTGGAAGTCTGACATTCAAATCTTTTCATGATGTAACCTTAAGATATCTTTCAGTTCTTTTCTTGTATTGTGCTGTGCACAATCTGCTGAAATTAGTGTGCAGAACACACCTGACACATTCCTGCCTCCAAGGGGACTGGTGTGTCTGTCCCTTCCCTTTGATTTATTATGCCCTCACATCCAAGATGGCCAATCATAACCCTGCAAGCCCTACCTACCTCAGGTCATCTTCCCATGTAAGAACCTTTAGAATTCTCTTCAGAATGAAGTTGATACAAGATCAAGTTTTGTATCAACCTTATTCCTCCCTCCCAGCACTTCTCATGTATTTTCCCTGGATAGTGGTCATGTGCACATCTATTTTTGCTCTACACCCCTTACTATGTTGCAGATGTTTTAAGACAATGACCACATGTTACTTATCCTTGTTCTAGTGCATTGCCTCACACATAGTTGGCATTGAATAATATTTGTTGAACAAATGAATGAGTTTGTCAAATCTGAATTTGATTAACTAATATTTATTTCGTGATGTTTCCCTTTTATCATTGCTCTTACTAGTTTCTCATGAGACCTTTTGTGAAAAGGCAGAAAGCATAGAGGAAATGCAGAGTCCTTGTTTTGAAACAGTCTAGTTGGTTTCAATCTGGTCAAATGATTAAGTTTATATTGAGAAACACTAAACATGACTGAGTAATCTGTATAGTATGAGATAAATAATTCTTAGTGAAATATTAATTGATTGATTTTCTGCTCAGGATACATAAAACTTCTTTTTATTTTTATTTTTTGGTACTGGAGATTGAACTCAGAGGTGCTTAACCACCGAGCCACATCCCAGCCTTTTTCATTTTTGAGATGTGGTCTCACTAAAGTTAAGTAGGGCTCACTAAATTGCTGAGGCTGGCTTTGAACTTGCGATCCTACTGCCTCAGCCTCCTGAGCTGCTGGGATTATAGGTGTGCACCACAGTGCTTGGCGATAAAACTTCTTAACATTATTCAGTGAGTAAAAAAGTACATGATTGTAATCAAAGAGCCTTAGACTCACCACGTTACTGCATGTCCTATATCGAATATTTCTTCCTTCACAGCTCCTAGTCATAAAAAGAAAAGAGAAATCTCATTACTACCTATGAAAGGATCAAAGTTTGAACCATTTTGTAAAAGTCAATTTCCTCTTAATACTAGTGGAAGGGTCTTTTCTTCTAAGTAGCTTCACAGAGATGTTGCCATTAAATACTAAATGGAGCCGATCTAAGGAAGATGTATATATAGGGCTGGGGATGTGGCTCAAGCGGTAGCGTGCTTGCCTGGCATGCGTACGGCCCGGGTTCGATCCTCAGCACCACAAACAAAGATGTTGTGTCCACCAAAAAAAACTAAAAATAAATATTAAAATTCTCTCTCTCTCTCTTAAAAAAAGTGTATATATAAATGGATTTCTCTTGAAGGGCTGAAATTAAGCATTTATCTTGCTTCAATATTTTTCAAAATAAGTACTTAGTATAAATTTAACCAAATAAATATTAGGGTAAGGTTTTCTAAAAAAATATTTATATTACATTAATCCTGTCATCTTAATTATTTCTAATAGAAAACTGAAGAGACATTTTGGTAAAAAACTTTAGAACTTGAATATGATAAAAAGTGAACTTGGTATTCAACATGTCTTCTAAGGATAGAAAAAGATATAATTCTTAAACAGTTATTTTTATTTCTAAAATACACCCTCATTATAGTGATTTTGGAATAGATTATCAAAATGAAAAAAAAAAGTTCCCCTAATGGCCTCATCTAAAGATAATTACTATTATTAATTATTTCTTTCCAGTGCAGAGGAAATCACATCGATTATACAATTTTGTAACTTAATTTTGTCCCACTTAAATTTTTTTAGAAGTATTTTCCACACTATATTGAGAGCTACATAATATTCCATCAAATGGTATAACACAATTTGTAGATCATTATTCTACTAATTGTCCTTTAATTTATTTTTATAGGGTTTGATAAATGAGAGTGTAATAAACCACCCCTAAGCATATGTCTTATCCAAGTTTCTGACTATGTCTTTAAAATTAATAAATTTCTAGAAGGGGAATTACTGAACTAGAGGGAATGAATTTTTGCAAGGCTCTTGAAAACTATTGCCAAATTGCATTCCATAAAGGTTGTACCATTACATACTCCCACCAGAAATACATGGGAGTTCCCATTTTACTAAATTCTTGTGAACAAAAACAATCAATATTTGGTAAAATATCCAGTAATGACAATTCATGGACAGCAGTATTCTGCTCTTTTCAAACTAGGTCACAAGTAAAACAATACTATGGAACTCTGAATGACCACATGAATAGCTAATAGTTAAGGAAGACCAGGTATAATTTAAATTTGTTATGTGCATTATTTTATTTAATATCAAAAATCTTGAGAGGGATGATACTGTTGTTAATACATGTTACAGATTAAAAAAAAAAAAAAAACCACTGATGCTTAGAGAGGTTATGTATCTTGCCCAAATCGCACAACTGTTAAGTTGTACAGATGAGATTTGAAACTAGGCCATCTGGCCTCAGAGCTGACACTCATAATCACAAAGCTTTAATGCCTAATTTATTATTTTGTTCAGCAAACATCCATAGAGCTGCTGTTATGTGCCGGGCAATGAACTTACTTAGGGGAGTACAAAGAATAATGAATATCACTTGGTTTCTTCTATTAAGAAAATCAATTATATAATTATAATTCAGCATAAAAATGCTATCTAGTAATTGTGCTAGGTCTTGAGAATGTTAACAGAAGGAAAATGTTATCTGAAAACACAATTATATGAAGGCTATCTTAGGTCTAAAGACTTTAATTAGATTGACTATATTAATTAAGGCATTCAACTCACAGGAAAAAGGAGAATTGACCAAGATGTGTAGTTGTCAGTACCCAGGCCCAAGATACCCTAGACAAAGGGTCAATAAATTTCAAGTCTTTCATGCCCCATTGGAAAGGTGGTTGTTGTTATCTTGATGGTTTAGGGGAACCCTAGCTGATGCCAACAAATGCTCAGTTCATATGAAGAATGTTTCCCATGATGAAGCCATATTGACCAAACTGCCAGCCAAGAATGATCTGGATTTTCATGACATCTGAGAGGTAGAGAGCACTAGCCACATTAACAAGAATATTGTGGTACACACGATAGATTCTTCCATTCCTTGTTGTGCTTAAATAAACTGGTACCTCAGTTTGAAACATTACTCTCATGGGTCAAGTCATTGTGAGAACATCCCCAAAAGAAAGATCTATTCTTGGTGTTAATGTTAAAAAATATCAAGCTCCTGATTCTGAAAACATGAGAGTTAGGCTAGGGATGATGGTAGATTTACAAGATAATGAATTTTGCAACTGGGGTTCCTTTGGTAGCTTGTCATACAGACATTGGTATTTCTTGCATATGATAGGCTTTTCAATTTTACAATGCTGGTGCATATGTAACACCCTATAGTAGGTAAGAGTACTCACTTTGAAACCAGACATCTCTTTATGGACTCATGACCTCAAATTCTATACCCCAGTTTTTTTCATCTGCAAAATGGGCTAATATTACTTATATCACAGGAATATTATGAGGATTTAGTAAATAACTATAAATCATTGTAGACAGTGACTAAGTCATAGTAAGCATTATGAAAGCATGTGATATATTAATTAAAATGTAATAAAAATGATAGATATTGAAAAGAGGTTAAATATATATAGAAAAAGTTGTAAGAAAGGCAGAGCAGCATGAAAAGATTTGGTATGTTTGTAAATTTTCAAATAGATCTGTGTTTTTGGAATTTGGAGTTCATGTGGTAAATTGCAATAAAGAGAATATCATTTCAATTTTGAATTTTATAATAAGCAAAGAGGAATCACTTACTGAAGGTTTTAAAACAGAAAAATTGCAACTATGACTTCTTGATTTTAAAAGATGATATTTATCGCTGAGAATGAACCTATTTTTTTCTATCCTTTAAAAAAAAAATCTTCTTTTCCTAAACTCATATCTATGAAATGAATAATGGAATTAATTCTGAATTAGAAATTTGAAGACCAGGGCTATAGATTTTGTTCCTGTACTTGCATAAGCCTTTTGCCATCTTATGCTCTTAACTTCCTAGTTCTCAAATGGATCCAGTAACATTATTGCATACCGTTGTGAACACCAACTGAGATAGTACACAGAAGCTCTGTTCCGATGCCAAAGGATTATAATAGAGATACCACTTACAAAATGGAAAAAAATAAAATAGAAAAATGCCTTTTCAATAATTTAAATGAGCTTTTCCCCAGATATTTTAAACCATAAATACCTATACAGGTTTTACGAGCATCCTTGGAGACAGGAGATACAGCTTACAATGTCAAAGACTGACTTAAATACTTCTTATTTAGGAAAAACAAAATAAAAACAAACAAAAAAGAAAGCAAAAAAAAAGTGCTTGCCATATTTTCCAAAGAAATATTCTGTGATGGTTTAGCAACTAATACTGATTTATAAATAATTTATTTATATCTCTGAACTGTCTTCCCTTTACTATATCCTATTAACATTTAATTGAGAGCTTCTTTAATTTGACTGAAATATAACATTAAAATGTTAGTTCTTAAGTTTGGCTCCTACTCAATATTGAAAACCATTATCCAATTGTGAATACTAACAGAATATTAGCCTCTACCATATATTTAGTGCCTGCTCTTGATCTCTAATCCAGTGTTATTACATTAAGTCTAATTAAATCTAACTCTAAAAAATTTACAATAATTCTGCAATATTTTAACAATCCTGTTTAACAAATAAGAAAACTGAGCCTTAAAGTTACATAAACAGAAAACATCAGGGATTTTGAATCCTGGTTTGACCAACTTGAGAGTAGGAAAACAGTAAGTAAAGGAACAAGATGTGTTCCAGACGTGTAGTAAGTTAACTGGAGACTAGAAATCTGGGAAGCTGAGCAGGGAGGGGCCTGGGACTTAACTGCATTTTATTGATACTATATCAATTTATCAACTGCTTTTTAATTCTGGTAAATCCACTTCCAGTAAAGCAAACCTAGACACGCACTGGAATATCTCCAAGAGAAACACTCATCAGTAAGATGCAATGTGGAAGAATTTCAGTGCAGAGAAGCTCATTTTAAAAATTCAAACATATTAAACTTGAATATAAATTTTAGATCAGTAGCAAAGTGACTATTCCACTGCAAGGATTTTAGTTTCTGCCAACTGTGAATTTCTTTACTCAAGGTATTTATCTGGGCACAAAAGCCTTATCTGTGTAACTGAGAAGTAGTACAAAATCTCTCTCTCTCTCTCTCTCTTTTTTTTTTTTTAAGTTTGCTAATATAAAACAGCTGAGTGGGTTCCTGCACATTTAATCAAATTTTAAAAAGTTCACCTCTGGAGAAGAAAACAAACATCAGAAACTTTAGTCCAAAATGATTTCTGAGAAAAATTACAGAGCACTGATAACATAGAATAGAAGTCACTGCCTTCTCCCAGTGCCAACTACATGACACAGGACGGTGTTCAGTGAGTCAAGGACTGTACCGGTTATGGCCTGCCTCGAGTATGCAAGAGCACCACATAAATATTAGAATATATCCCAATCCAAATCTGTCCAGAAATTTCCTTGTTTATTTCAATACTTCACTCTTAGCTACTTATTAATTTGGACTTAATTTCTTCTCTAAGATAATGATTATCTCAATCCCAATCATTATTTGTGAATTATTCAGACTTTAGATAAATTTACCAGAATTTAGTTAAAATGAGATTAGTATAGACTTGAGGTGTATTTTGTCTCTCATTAACAAATAACAAAACCCTCCAGATTCCTTCAACTCTTAAAGTCCTCATGCTATCTTATTTTTGATTATCATAATTTAACAACCTTAAGAAGAGATGAATTGCCATTGAAAATTAAAACTCTTTTTTGCAAATTGCTTTAGCCGTTTGTTGATCTCTTCTTTCTTTCTTGCCTGCTTATATAATTCTTTATTAAGAAAGAGGAGTGTATTTGGTTTCTCTCTCTCTCTCTCTTTGTTTTTAAATG